TTAAATATGAAATGAATAAAAATGACAAACAAACAAACAAACAAACAAAAAAGTGGATATTTAAGTGATTGTTTAAAGTTATTTTATATTTTTTTTAAATAACGGGCAGATATAAGGATTTTTTTCTTTTTTCTGCACTCTTTTCATTCAATGTTTTCTTTTTCATGATTTTTTATTTTTATTTTGTTTCTTTTAAATGAATGAATAGATTAATTAAATTAAATTAAATGTTAAATGGCTTTAAACATCTGCTAAGTTCATGACATAAACCAACAGACATGTTCCTGTTTTTAGTATTTTACATCACTTTATAATGTTGCAGTTTATGTTTTTATTATGATTTTCAAATCATGTTTTTTATGATTGTCTACTGTTGTATTGATAAATATCTCCTGGAGGGTAAACTATATCTTGACTGCAAGTATCAAACTGAGAAATCCTTTGTTTTCTACAACTGATAGTGGTTGGTCATTAATTATGATGAAGTTTAGCAACTTCTCTGTAAACATTTGAACTCTGTGGTTTCAGCAACGTCTACTTCTGGTTCAATCTGAAGCAGGCAGCCGGATTTGGGGCAGTCGCGCTCAGGCTGTCCCTCCTCGGAGACGGGCAGACTGAGCGGGGCAGATTGGACGCGGCTGGCCGGTGTCGTTTCCTGTTGTGGGTTGAGCAAAAAGCAGCTGAAGCCACGGAGCTCGAATGTCCATCGTAAAACTAACTTTACCGCGGTTTAATGTGGCGCTATGGCTCTGCAGACATTGCACGTTGCTGTCTTGTTTTTTGGTGTTTGGTGTAAAATACTTCCACACAGCGGACATGCTTAGATGAAAAGTTTGTTAGCTGTTAGCCACAGTGCTGCTAACTCAGCACTCACGTTGTAGCTGGCTGCAAACGATGAACTGGATTTCCTGAATGTGAGGCGGGTCTTATTACTCTGGGTTCATGAGACACGCCGCCATTCAGGAAATCCATTCCATAGTTTGAAGCCAACATGCATCATGGATCGGAAATATCAGCAGGTGGATCGGAAAAATCCGATAAGTAAATTATGCTGGTATCGGAGGCCAATACCGATACTGGATTGGATCGGCCCCATCCCTAGTGCCAACATCTAATATTTTATTCAGAATAGAACACAAATCACAGATAAAAAGTTTAAACTGAGAGAATGTATCATTTTAAGGGAAAAATCTGTTGTTTCCAAATTTCATGG